CGCATTTACTTCTCTTACAACCCCATCTATAAATATATTAAAACAACCACGGTGACATCACACATCCTTGTCTAAGGCCTACTTTTACTGGGAAAAAATTTCCCTCTTTCCTACATACTCTAACTTGAGCCTCACATCCTCGTAAAAAACCCTTTACTGCTTTCAGTAAAACCCACCTCCTACACCCTACACTTGCAACATCGCCACATTGGCCCCCTATCCACCCTGTCATACGCCTTTTCCAAATCCATAAATGCCACAAAGACCTCTTTAGCCTTATCTAAATACTGTTCACTTATATGTTTCACTGTAAACACCTGGTCCACACACCCCCTACCTTTCCTAAAGCCTCCTTGTTCATCTGCTATCCTATTCTCCGTCTTACTCTTATACAGTATACAGTATTTTCCACAATACCACCCCTCTCCTGAACACCCTAGCATTTACTTCTTTTACAACCCCATCTATAAATATATTAAACAACCATGGTGACACACACATCCCTGTCTAAGACCTACTTTTTCCCGGGGAAGTAATCTCCCTCTCTTCTACACACCCTAACCTGAGCCTCACTATCCTCATAAAAACTCTTTACAGCATTTAGTAACTTACCACCTAGTCCATATACTTGCAACATCTGCCACATTGCTCCCCTATCCACTCTATCATATGCCTTTTCTAAATCCATAAATGCAATAAAAAATTCCCTACCTTTATCTAAATACTGTTCACATATATGTTTCAATGTAAACACTTATCTACACATCCTCCCCACTCTGAAACCTCCTTGCTCTCCCAATCCTACATTCGTTTTTTCCCTCAATTTTTAAATTTATAACCCTCCCTACACTTTTCCGGGTATACTCAGTAAATTTCTTTCATTTTCTTTCAACGACCAAGTACCCCCACTGAGGTGGGGGGTTTCCCAAAAAGGGAAAAAAAAAAAGTTTTGCCTTTTAAAAAATTGTAACATATCAGGGGAAGGGGGGTTTCTAACCCCTTGCCCCGGCATTTTTTTCCCTTCTTTTTCCACACCATGCTTATGGGGGAAGCATTCTGTTCCACTTCCCCCTGGGGAACCCGTAAACTTTTTCCCTAAAATTTTTTTACAATCTCTTTGCCCCTTCCCTTTTTAAAAAAGGGACTACACTGCTCTCTGCCAACCCTAGGTACCCCCCCTCTTTCATACATTATTAAAAAAAAAATACCAACCCCCCAACACTATTTTTCCCCCCCGCTTTTAACTTTCGTCATGACCTTCAGTTTCCCGGCTTTACCCCCCCTTTTATTCAATAATGCCACACCTCCCCACACTCACATCCTGTTTTTCTCACTCCTAATAGATGGTATACCTCCCTGTCCCGTGCATGAAATTACCGCTTCCCCTTTTTTCCGACATTAAAAAAAATTCCTCAAAAATTCTCCCATCACCCCAAAACCCCCATCTCCCCATCTACTAAATCCCCCTTTTTTTTTTAACTGCAAATCCTTGACATAGTTTTTGGATTATTATTGGTAGATAAAAGATTGTTGAGAAACTTTAGGAGACATGTTTATAAGGGGCCAAAATATATCGACACTTTAGTTGTAGCTACACTGAAGTAAAAGGAGATGGATACAAGGAGAAAAGTAGATCGGGAAAAAGGGGGTGAAGTTTAAAATAAAAGAGGAGGGAGTTAGGGTAAGATAAAACAGCTATTGGAGGAAGATGGCTAAAAGGGGCATAGGGAATGGGGGCGAAGAGATTGGGGGAGGTTTAAAAATGTGTTTAGAGTGTTCCAAATTTTTGGTTACAGGAAAGTGGGGGGGGGGGGGAAAGAGGAGCGATTGGGGGAAGGGGAAGGGAAAGAGAGTATTTGGGGAAAAAGTTGCAATGAGATTTTTACAAAAATAGAAGTGATGCAAGGAGGGGAGTATATGGAGAAAAAAAGGAGAAAAGGTTTAAAGAGTGGGGAAGCATGGAAAAGAGACAAAAGAGAGAGGGTGGGGATGTTTTTCAACAAATTTTGTTGAAAAAAGAAAAGTTTTGGGGTGAGATTTAAAAAGTTAAGAAACCTAAGAAAAAATGGGGGTTTTCAGTTTTAAAAAAAGGGGGAGGAAAATATTTTAAAAGGAGAGGGTTTGAGGTATTGGGGAAAATGGGGGAATATTTTGAGGGAATTTTTAAAAGGTTTAGAAGATTTGGGAAGCTATGATTTCGTGTATAGGGCCCAAAGGGGAATTAAAAATCTTTAGGAGTTTAGGAAGAGCCGTTTTGAGGTTTTTGGGGGGGGTTTTGTGAGGCATAGGTAAAATGAAAGGGGGTAAGGCAGCCGGGAGGTTATGGGTTTTAAAAATAGAAATGTTTTTAAAACAGGTGGGGATATAGTTTTTGGAATTTGGGTTTGGGGCAAATTTTTTTAATAAAATGTATGGAAAGGGTTTAAAGGGACCTAGGGGGTTTTTCAAAAGAGCCGGCCTTTGTTCCTTTGTATAAAAGGGAAAGGGGGGTAAAAGAAGTGGAAAAATTATGGGGGGTAAGTCGTTGAGTATACCTGGTAAAAATTATGGTAGAGTTATAATTAAAGAATTTAAAAGTAAGAAAAGGAGAATAGGTTAAACAGATGGGAAAAAGGAGGCTTTAGGAAAGGTTGGGGGGGGGGGGACCAGGTGTTTACAGTGAAACATATAAGTGAACAGTATTTAGATAAGGCTAAAGAGGTCTTTGTGGCATTTATGGATTTGGAAAAGGCATATGACAGGGTGGATAGGGGGCAATGTGGCAGATGTTGCAGTGTATGGTGTAGAGGTAGGTTACTGAAAGGCAGTGAAGAGTTTTAAACGAGGATAGTGAGGCCAAGTTAGAGTATGTAGGAAAGAGGGAAATTTTTTCCCAGTAAAAGTAGGCCTTACACAAGGATGTGTGATGTCACCGTGGTTGTTTAATAATATTCTAGATGGGGTTGTAAGAGAAGTAAATGCGAGGGTCTTGGCAAGAGGCGTGGAGTTAAAAGATAAAGAATCACCACACAAAGTGGGAGTTGTCACAGCTGCTCTTTGCTGATGACACTGTGCCTTGGGAGATTCTGAAGAGAAGTTGCAGAGATTGGTGGATGAATTTGGTAGGGTGTGCAAAAGAAGAAATTAAAGGTGAATACAGGAAAGAGTAAGGTTATGAGGATAACAAAAAGATTAGGTGATGAAAGATTGGATATCAATGGAGGAGAGAGTATGGAGGAGGTGAACGTATTCAGATATTTGGGAGTGGACGTGTCAGCGGATGGGTCTATGAAAGATGAGGTGAATCATAGAATTGATGAGGGAAAAAGAGTGAGTGGTGCACTTAGGAGTCTGTGGAGACAAAGAACTTTGTCCTTGGAGGCAAAGAGGGGAATGTATGAGAGTATAGTTTTACCAACGCTCTTATTGGGTGTGAAGTGTGGGTGATGAAATGTTGCAGCGAGGAGAAGGCTGGAGGCAGTGAGATGTCATGTCTGAGGGCAATGTGTGGTGTGAATATAATGCAGGAATTCGTAGTTTGGAAGTTAGGAGGGGTGCGGGATTACCAAAACTGTTGTCCAGAGGGCTGAGGAAGGGTTGTTGAGGTGTTCGGACATGTAAGAGAATGGACGAAACAGAATGACTTCAAGAGTGTATCAGTCTGTAGTGGAAGGAAGCGGGGTAGGGATCGGCCTAGGAAAGGTTGGAGGGAGGGGTAAAGGAGTTTTGTGTGCGAGGGGCTTGGACTTCCAGCAGGCATGCATGAAGCGTGTTTGATAGGAGTGAATGGAGACAAATGGTTTTTAATACTTGACGTGCTGTTGGAGTGTGAGCAAAGTAACATTTATGAAGGGATTCAGGGAAACCGGCAGGCCGGACTTGAGTCCTGGAGATGGGAAGTACAGTGCCTGCACTCTGAAGGAGGGGTGTTAATGTTGCAGTTTAAAACTGTAGTGTAAAGCACCCTTCTGGCAAGACAGTGATGGAGTGACTGATGGTGAAAGTTTTTCTTTTTCGGGCCACCCTGCCTTGGTGGGAATCGGCCAGTGTGATAATAAAAAAAAAAAAAAAAATCCATTCATTCTCTAGGCTTTCTTAACTTGTTTAACTCACTCCAAAATTTTTTCTTATTTTCATTAAAATTTCTTGACAGTGCCTCTCCCACTCTATCATCTGCTCTCCTTTTGCACTCTCTCACCACTCTCTTTACCTTTCTTTTACTCTCCATATACTCTACTCTTCTTATAACACTTCTTCTTTGTAAAAACCTCTCATAAGCTAACTTTTCTCTCTTTATATCACACCCTTTACTTTCATCATTTCACCAATCACTTTCCTCTTTCCTCCTGCACCCTCCCACCTATAACCACAAACTTCTGCCCCACATTCTAATACTGCATTTTTAAAACTATTCCAACCCTCCTCAACCCTTTCCCCACTACTCATACTTGCACCAGCCCACCTTTCTGCCAAAAGTTGCATATCTCACCTGAACTTCCTTAATTTATTATTATTATTATTATTATTATTATTGTAGTGTTTGCATTGTGTGTCTTTTCCAGCACTGTAGCCTTTCTAGTCCACTGTATGCTATAATAACACTGGTATCACTGGTATCTTTTGGTGTCTCTTACTTATGTAATTATTATTATAATCAAAACAAAGTGCTAAACCCACTAGGGTTACTTAAGTAAGATAGATGATGTGTTCTCTGATACCACAGTGTTATTCATTACCATGAGGATGTTTTTTTGTGGCCTTAAGGTGTCAAAAGTCAGTCTTGTCAAGAGCACATGTAAAATAGGAGATAAGTGAATCTACACACTCATTTATTTTCAGCAACTTAGTATCCTGCTTTAAATTTCGACATTTTCCAAATTTAACAAAGCATTTCATAACTGTTGAGAGCCCTTGCATGATATTCTCATGCTTTATTTGTTCTAATTTTTTCTTGTACATAGTACACACAGTGCCTTTTTCTTTTTTATACTTTGACAGTTAAGCATATTTATGTTCTTCAGGATGCTGTACAACCTAGACATGGTGCCTTTCAACTCATCAGTGCGTTTGAAGGGAAAATTTGACACTTACGATTTTTTTATTGAAGACACACCCCAGGGACACACGTCTGGTACAAAATTTATGGAAGTTGAGCCTGGAAGGTAAGAAATTAATTTTTTCTTGTCCATTATCATTCCTTTTCTACCATCTAGAGTTCAAAATCTTTGCAGTTTTTCATTAAGCTACCGGTAGTCATTATACAGTATGTATATAAAATACAAGTGTAACATAATACTTCATTCAAAAATCTAGTTGTCGAGTCACTTTCATTCTTATGATTACAAGCATTGATCCTGATATAATCCTTTTTATTAAATGACTTACACGAATCAAATAGCAACTGTAATTATTATACAACAGACCAAGCAAAGACATTACTCAGAGCAAACAATAACATAACTATCTTTAATTACAGTGTCAGATTCTTGAGCAAACATTACGATGATCTCACAGCATTACTCAGTTCCCTTCATTCCAGTATGTCAATCATCACACTCACAGAAACCTGGCTAAAGCCTGGCACTACAGATGTCTATGCCATTCCTGGTTACACAGCCATACACGACTGTAGGACAGACCAGCAAGGGGGGTGGAACAGCTATATACTATTCAAATTATCTTGAATGTATCAATAATTCTTGCACAAGGGATGAACATGGTGAATATATTATAGCTAAATTTAAATCAAAAGACCTGCAAAAACCCCTCACAGTTATAAACATCTACAGAGTACCACAGTCAAACATTTACCACTTTAGTGAAAAATTAGGAAACTTAATAACTGATGTACATATGAACAAAGACCACCTGCTACTAACAGGAGATTTCAACATAAATCTGCTATATGACCAGGACCCAAAAGTAACCGAATTCACAAACACTACAAGCAACTGATTGTTGCTACCAACAATATCAAAACCTACAAGAATCTCCGAGACTAGTATCTCCTTATTACACCACATCTGGACTAACACTATATCCCCTTTAAAAATCAGGCATAATCACAGACACCACAGACCACTACCCTACCTTTCTCATAACCGGGCCGCGGGGGCGTTGACCCCCGAAACTCTCTCCAGGTAAACTCCAGGTAATAACCAACCTAGGTAAATTGCCCCAAGACACTACTAAAGTTACCTTCAGACTACATAACAAGACAGCTGTTGATAACTTTATAACAGCTATGAATAACATCGACTGGCATAATGAGCTTGAAACATATACAGATACAAGACAGCTAAGAGACTGAATAGTCCCTGGCTAACACCCAGCATCCTTAAATCCATTAACACAAAGCATCAATATGAAAAACAGTACAGAATGGGTCAGATAACTAGAAACCAGTCTAAACGTTACTCGTTACTCGTGAGGCAGTAGGTAAAATGAAAGGGGGTAAGGCAGCTGGGATTGATGGGATAAAGATAGAAATGTTAAAAGCAGGTGGGGATATAGTTTTGGAGTGGTTGGTGCAATTATTTAATAAATGTATGGAAGAGGGTAAGGTACCTAGGGATTGGCAGAGAGCATGCATAGTTCCTTTGTATAAAGGCAAAGGGGACAAAAGAGAGTGCAAAAATTATAGGGGGATAAGTCTGTTGAGTATACCTGGTAAAGTGTATGGTAGAGTTTTATTGAAAGAATTAAGAGTAAGACAGAGAATAGGATAGCAGATGAACAAGGAGGCTTTAGGAAAGGTAGGGGGTGTGTGGACCAGGTGTTTCCAGTGAAACATATAAGTGAACAGTATTTAGATAAGGCTAAAGAGGTCTTTGTGGCATTTATGGATTTGGAAAAGGCATATGACATGGTGGATAGGGGGGCAATGTGGCAGATGTTGCAGGTGTATGGTGTAGGAGGTAGGTTACTGAAAGCAGTGAAGAGTTTTTATGAGGATAGTGAGGCTCAAGTTAGAGTATGTAGGAAAGAGGGAAATTATTTCCAGTAAAAGTAGGCCTTAGACAAGGATGTGTGATGTCACCATGGCTGTTTTAATATATTTATAGATGGGGTTGTAAGAGAAGTAAATGCGAGGGTCTTGGCAAGAGGTGTGGAGTTAAAAGATAAAGAATCACACATAAAGTGGGAGTTGTTACAGTTGCTCTTTGCTGATGACACTGTGCTCTTGGGAGATTCTGAAGAGAAGTTGCAGAGATTGGTGGATGAATTTGGTAGGGTGTGCAAAAGAAGAAAATTAAAAGTGAATACAGGAAAGAGTAAGGTTATGAGGATAGCAAAAAGATTAGGTGATGAAAGATTGGATATCAGATTGGAGGGAGAGAGTATGGAGGAGGTGAATGTATTCAGATATTTGGGAGTGGACGTGTCAGCGGATGGGTCTATGAAAGATGAGGTGAATCATAGAATTGATGAGGGGAAAAGGGTGAGTGGTGCACTTAGGAGTCTGTGGAGACAAAGAACTTTGTCCTTGGAGGCCTACCAGCCCTCTCCAGCTTGATTTGAAGCTGCTAGAATTTATGCGTATAGATACGTCAAACACGGTATCTCGTATGACGTATATATACAACTGAAACAGTCAAAGGGTTAACCTTACCAAAAAATCTCCCAATTACGTATCTAAATCTTAAAACTTCAAGACTGGATGCCCAAGTTCATGCATTGACTAATACTACACAGTAGTATAAATACCCCGGTGGTCTGGTGGCTAAAGCTCCCGCTTCACACACGGAGGCCCCGGGTTCGATTCCCGGCGGGTGGAAATTCCGACACGTTTCCTTACACCTATTGTCCTGTTCACCTAGCAGCAAATAGGTACCTGGGTGTTAGTCGACTGGTGTGGGTCGCATCCTGGGGGACAAGATTAAGGACCCCAATGGAAATAAGTTAGACAGTCCTCGATGACGCACTGACTTTCTTGGGTTATCCTGGGTGGCTAACCCTCCGGGGTTAAAAATCCGAACGAAATCCTATCCTATCCTATCCTACCTACCCAAAGCAGTACTGCCCTCCAATTGTAGCATTCTCATACTGTAAACTACTTTAAGAAAATCACAATGTTATATTCCCATAATATAATTTGAAACTATTTTCCGTTGTCGACAGGAATATAATTGAATCATGTTTCATAAAAAGCAGTTTTGAAAATAATATGAATAGTATTTCCTTTGGTTTATATAAATTAGATTCATTTATAATTAATAGAACTATTGTACAACTTAAACTATGATAAATTTCTTTAGTATTAGGTAGTCAGGAAACCATTATATTAAGTCCGCTCATAATGCCTAGGCATGATAGAGGCTGTCTTTGCACTGCAACTCATTATTGTAAATACATAATCTCGATGTACTATTCGCAGAGAAATAAATTTGACTTTGACTTTGGATATTTTATGAGTGTGCTCATTTTTCAGCCATTTCATTTCTAAATAATGTACATATTTTTTAATATATCGGCAGTTTCCCACTGAGGTAGGGTGACTAGAACAAGAATAAATACTCTCACCATCATCCATTCAGTTACTGTCTTTCCAAAAGTGTACCAACAGTACAACTCAGATGACCCTCTTAACTACAACATCCCCACCCCTCCTTCAGAGCGCAGGCACTGTACTTCCCACCTCCAGAACTCAAGTCTAGTTAACCAGTTTGCCCTGACTCCCTTTATAAATGTTACCTTGCTCACACTCCAACAGCGTATCAAGTTAATAACCTTCTGGGTTAATTAGCCAAGCAAAATTACCTCCTTCCACCATATAATATTGCCACATTTATTTTCAATTTGATTTACTGTATGTTTTTAAAGCTATTTATTTTTTTATTTGTGTCTTTGCAAATAGTACATTAAGATTATGTATTTACAATAATGGGTTGCAATGCAAAGAGAGCCTCTATTATGCCTAGGGATTATGGGCCAACTTAACATTATTGGCTTACTGACTACTTAACATTAAGAATTATATCATAGTTGTACAGTAGATTATTAATTATAAGTGAATCTAATTTATATAAGACAAAAGATATATTCATATATTCAAAAATTCTTTACATCTCATCAAGAAAACTTTTTTCAGTTACCAAGTCTTCCTGCCGACACTTGAGGGCATTCGTGAAGAGGAAGCCTTCACTTCCTTTGATGTGAAGCTTGGCGGTGTTTACAACTTCCTGGTGCAGAAATCACTTATTAATGTCTCAGATGCTATGGTAAGATAAGCAAATTCATCTTTTTATTTTTAGTGGCATTCACATGAAGGAAATGACACATATTGGCTGCAGTTATGCATATAATCCAGCTATACTTATTTATGACTGCATAAGGGATAAGATACCTGTTGTCCCCATTCACCCATCAGTAAAAGGAGTACCTGAATGTTAGTTGACTGGTGTGGGTCACATCCTGGGACAAAATTGACCTAATTTGCCTGAAATTCGAAATGTTCTGCATAACAAGGGGCTTTTTGTATGGTAATACATGTATGTCATTGATGTCAGCTAGGCCTATATACCTTGTACCTGGTACATGTACTTGTAGTAATAAAGATTTTTTATTAGTATTATTAGTATTATTATTATATAGGCCCCAAAGAATTGGAGGCATTCAGGTTGAATCCAAGGAAGAGGGGAATAAGTTCAGTTCCTTGGATCAAGAACTCCTCACTGGCATCAAGACATATCCTTATGAGTGTAAGCCACTCCCTCCTTTCTAAGTTTAAAACTGATTGCTTCTCATTCCCCAAATGCTGTAAGAACATTATGGATTTGGTTCTCATAAATAAAATAATAATGTAGATATACATAGTAGGGGTTTAGTATAATTGTTGTTTAGTGACATCTAAATTGTCGTATCTGTGTACCTCTGCAAAGACAGTGATAGTGTCAGTGATAGTGAAAATCTTTCTTTTTTTTTTTGGGTCATCCTGCCTCAGTGGGGGATGGCCAGCATGCTAAAAAAAAAAATATGCACAAAACTCTTTGGGGAAGTAGAGAAGAATCCTTCCTCCATAAGCCATGTACATGTATATCATAAGAGACGACTAAAATGCCGGGAGCAAAGGGCTAGTAACCCTTCTCTTGTATACTTACTAAATGTAAAAAGAATATATTTTACAAAAATGTTTCTTCTTTTTCGGGGTCACCCTGCTTCTCTGGGAGACAGCCGGTGTGTTAAAAAAATATACATAAAAGAATTTACAATATACCAACACTCCTATGTGTGTGTGAAGCATGGGTGGTGAATGCTGCAACAAAGAGAAGGCTGGAGGCAGTGGAGATGTCGTGTCTGAGGGCAATGTGTGGTGTGAATATAATGCAGATAATTCGTAGTTTGGAAATTAGGAGGTGCAGGATTAACAAAACTATTATCCAGAGGGCTGAGGAGGGGTGGTTGAGGTGGTTCGAACATGTAGAGAGGGTGGAACAAAATAGAATGACTTCGAGAGTGTATAAATCTGTAGTGGAGGGAAGGCGGGGTAGAGGTCAGCCTAGGAAAGGTTGGAGGGGCTAAAGGAGGTTTTATGTGCGAGGGGCTTGGATTCCAGCAAGCATGTGTGAGCATGTTAGATAGGAGCGAATGGAGACAAATGGTTTTTAGGACTTGACGTGCTGTTGGAGTGTGAACAGGGTAATATTTATGAATGGATTCAGGGAAACTGGCAGGCCGGACTTGAGTCCTGGAGATGGAAAGTACAGTGCCAGCATTGTGAAGGAGGGGTGTTAATGTTGCAGTTTTATAACTGTAGTGTAAGTGCACCTCTGGCAAGGGAAAACAGTGATGGAGTGAATGATGGTGAAAGTTCTTCTTTTTTGGGCCACCTTACCTTGATGGGAAATGGCCGATGTTTTAAAAAAAAAATTACAGTTATACACATTTTTTTATGAAGGTCCTTTGTCACTAGTGTGTATACAAGCATTTTTCCTCAGCATAGAACTACTTCATAGCTGTTAGACTTCACAATCTGAATATCTTATGCTCGTGGCTCACTAGGGCGCTCATGGCTCACTAGGGTGCTCATGGCTCACTAGGGTGCTCATGGTTCACTAGGGTGCTAATGGCTCACTAAGGTGCTTGTGGCTCATTAAGGTGCTTATGCCCATACACTTCTGGTAAGATAGAGCTGTTGAATGAATGAAGGTGAATTTTTCCTCTTTTGGGGGGTCACTTTACCTTAGTAACACATGGCTGATGTTGTAAAAAGTGAAAGTATGTACAGTAAATCAAAATACAAAGTAACTTTACCATGTGTTTCTGTATTACAGACGGTGAACGTGTTTGAAGTTACTCCTTCTAACTCTGTGCATATAATGTGGCTGATACCCCAATACTTCATCATTACGGTCTCGGAAATTATGTTCTCAATTACTGGTCTCGAGTTTTCATTTACACAGGTAAGGTTTATTTTCCATTATCATTATCATTTCATCATCCTACATGGAAAAAAAAATACAGATACGGATACGGCCGGTGTGTTGAAAGAAAGTACAAATAATGTGGTTTACATTTAAGAAAACATTGGTAGGTACAAAAGAAAGGCATTAATATGCTCTGCTAAATGCAGGAGTTCTCAGCTTGGGATAAATTGGTTATATTTAAGAAGTAATACAAGACAAAGCAAAAGAAAACACGAAATACTGTATAAAATCTTAATTGTCTTCATGGTCTTTACATTCTACAATTAAGCTATAGGCATTCAAATGTTAGAAGGCTAGACTGAAGTTGTGGAAATACTCACATGAGGGGTAATGAATCAAGGAGGTGTTGAAATTGGAAATGGGCAAATAAAGATTGTTAATGCCTGAGTTTCTAGAGCAAAACATCAATAAAATAGTTGACTTTATGTCATGTCTTTTATCATACTTGTTGCAGATACACAATACCCTCACTAAGGAGGTGAAACTTATGATGATGTTTCGGTCTGACTTGGACCATTAACTAGTCACACACATGACTAGTTAGTGGTTCAAGTCAAGACCAAAACCGTTATAAGTTTCTTTCTCCTTTGTACAAGCTATTTGTGTATTGTTCCAGTCATGGTATTATGCCTTTTTATTCATTGTTGCTAATACCTTCTGTTGAACACACACAGGTAGACTGTTAAATTTGTGCATAAGTGATAATACTTATAAAGCACTTTAGCATTAATGCAATTGTGAACTTACTCTTGAGCTTCACATCATAGATAATGAATTAGTTTTAAAGCCTACTGAACTATAACTAAAAGGTACCATTAGGCACTAGCTTTGGACCAACATTTGACTCTACCTCTAGGATCTTAGACAAGCTGCCACATAACACTGCTAATCCCACTCATAAATATAACTTAATTCGTGAAACAAAGGATATTTAGCAACTTTTATTTATTATATTGTTCACAAGCTCATTATTCATAACATAATAGTTGTTTAATAGATGATGTAATTCTCCACAGGGAAATGGAGAAGAACCCTTCCTCTTCCTCTGTAAGCCATGCATGCTGTAAGAGACAATTAAGTCTGGGAGCAAGGAGCTAGTAACCCCTTCTCCTGTATAAATTACTAAATTTAAAAAGGAGGAAAACTTTTGTTTCTTCTTTTTTAGGGCACCCTGCCTCAGTGGGAGATGGCCAGTGTGTTAAAAAAAAAATGATGCAATTACCTAATTGTATATACAGGATCAGAGATATATTTATGGTGTCTGCTCTTCATTACTTTGTTCAGTATGTAATTTTTGGAATGGTTGTAGTAACTATTATATTCTCTTATTATTCATTCCATTGATCTACCACTCTTGTGCTATATTTACTCACAAAACCAATACCAATTTTTTTCAATTTTACTTGATACTTTTAATCTGTATGGGTACAGTCTTGATCACAAATAATGACAGCCTATTGTTTTTTTCTCCACAGTCTCCCAGTAGTATGAAGTCAGTTTTGCAAGCTGCCTGGCTACTTACTGTATCTTTTGGTAACTTGATTGTGGTGATCATTGCGGAAGCCAAGTTCTTTAAAAGTCAGGTAAGATCATTTAAAAAAGGGACTCATTTATTACAAATTGATTTGTTAATAAAGACACTTATGCTTAGTTCAAGATATTTACTAACCCTTTGACTGTTTTGGTCGTATATATACGTCTTACAAGCTACCGTTTTTGACGTATATATACTCATAAATTCTAGCGGCTTCAGATCAAGCAGGAGAAAGCTGCTAGGCCCACATGTGAGAGAATGGGTCTGTGTGGTCAGTGTGCACCATATAAAAAAAATCCTGCAGCACGCAGTGCATAATGAGAAAAAAAAACTCTGAACGCTTTTTAATTAAGATACCGACTTTGTGGTTTATTTTCGTATAGTATTTATGGTTGTATTCTAGTTTTCCTCATCTCGTTTGTTGGAATGGAAAACATTATAGAATTAGAGGTGATTTTGGCTGGTTTTACTATGAAAAGAACCTGGAAATAGAGTTCAAAGTAGGGGAAATGTTTGATTTTTGCCGATGTTCAAAAGTAAACAAATGTCATTTTCCAATATACAGTGGACCCCCGGTTAACGATATTTTTTCACTCCAGAAGTATGTTCAGGTGCCAGTACTGACCGAATTTGTTCCCATAAGAAATATTGTGAAGTAGATTAGTCCATTTCAGACCCCCAAACATACATGTACAAACGCACTTACATAAATACACTTACATAATTGGTCGCATTCGGAGGTAATCGTTATGCGGGGGTCCACTGTATGTCCAAGTAGCCATTCTAATATGCAGTCATAAATGGGTTGACATTATTTATACAATTATTACAATATTGCAGTAGTCTGCATAACAGTAAATCTTTTATTTTTTGTTTGAATAAAAATTCAAAATAGAAAGCAAGAGTAATATCAGAGGGGCCTGGAGATGTGACTGATGAACAAAGAAAATGTTATTTTAGAGCCAGGAATGTCTGCATTGTTCATTCTGGACCATATTTTGAAATTGTCATTTTTTTAATTTTCGTGAACTTGGCCAAATTGCAAATTTCTGACCACGTTATTGGGTAGTTGAAACCGGTAAATGGGCAGTTTCTTGTACTCAATCAATAGAACAAATGGAGTTCTAAAGAAATAGCTGAGTTTGGTTGACTGGAACAATGGAATTAGCAGAAAATAGGGCTCAAAGTCGGCGAAATTGCCTGTTCGTAAATATCTCCGAGGTCGCTAACTTCACGAGAGCGTAATTTCATCAGTTTTCCATCAAATTTCGTTCTTTTGGTGTCATTACAATTGGGAAAATATTCTCTATCATTTCATAAGGATTTTTATTTTTTTTTTGCGACACCAGGAGACACCTCAGGGGTTGCAACAGTCAAGGGGTTAAAGGAAAATTTCACCATGAGCTCTTCTTTAGTCCTAATACCAAGTAAATTAAAATGGGGTATCATATAGTGGAGAATGCAGGTGACCTTTTACAACATACAAATTAACCCCTTCTCCTGTATACATTACTAAATTTAAAATGAGAAACTTTCGATTTTCTTTTTAGTCACTGTGCCTCAGTGGGATGCTGCAGGTTCATTGAAAAAAAAAATTACAAATGTTGAGCAATTTGATTCACAAAAGATAATTTATACAAAAGTAGTTTTCTGAAAAATATCTTAATTCAGCATTGATTCTAATTGTGTGAACTTCTTTACAGGCAATGGAATTCTTCTTGTTTGCTGTCCTAATGTTTGTCGATATGATTATATTTGCTGCACTCGCTGTATCGTATAAATATGTTGACGAGTTGGCAGAGGCGAAGGCCACAAGTGGTGCTGTCAGTGATAAAGAAGGAATAGATAATAAAGTTTTCTCAGATGATGAAACAAAATTCTGATGTAAAACAAAATATATTTCAGATAGTGAAATTTACTCAGTGCCGTAATAAAATTGAAGTTCAGCCTTTGTAAAGATTTCTTCACTGAAGTCATAATTTCCTTTATAATTTGGAAGTGAATACAGTAGTATTTTCAGGCAAAAAGATTTATGAAGAACAAATAAATGTTTTAGTATTGTACATAGATACAATAAACATATTTTAATCTACACATTGCCGCAAAACTGTGATCATGGAAACGATGTTTCAGTAGTATTTAAAAATATGTATCTTACTCTGTTTTCTAGAATACTGTGGATTGCAAAAATGACTCATTATCTGAATGCATGCCTAATGTCTTGGGAGACCATCAGGTCATCAAAGGCCAACACATCATCTGCTTTACTTCATAGCAGACAGGAGAACACAGCCATTTCCTTCAGGGGGGACTACTGTAATCTGAAGCAGGTGAAAGACTCTTAAATCAAAGAAATAGTTTTTTTCCTCTCGTACTCTGGATTAAACCTGAAGACTTCTCATTTTCCAGGTACAGAATAACCCACAATAGGTTTAGTGCCTTCTCATGATTAAAGTAAACTTGCTAAATTAGAAATCTGTTTCATGGGTTAAGCAGTGATTCAGGGTTTCTTCCTCACTACATCTCTGAGGCTTAAGAAATAAAATATTTATTGATAAAAATAATTACATAGATATGGGATAATGTGAACATAATTTAGATCATATTAAGTTCAGCAAAATGCTTACAAAAATTCAAACTGAGTGAAATAAATTGAGGGGTTTAGCAGGGTATCAAACATACATTGTGCCACAGCAATGGCTGCCCTGACCTTCACCAGCCTCCAGACACCACTCATGATGGTAGGGAAACATTATATGTAAATTTAAATATAGGTGTTAGTTCAACAGCTTTATTATACAACACATGCCCATCCTGTGTATACCTGGAGTATACCTGGAAAGGGTTTTGAGGGTCAACGCCCCCACAGCTCGGTCTGTGACCAAGTCTCGTGGTGGATCAGGGCTGATCTGCCAAGCTGTTACTGCTGGCCACATGCAGATCAATGTACGAACTACAGCCTGGCTGGTCTGGTACTAATTTTAGGTACCTGTCCAGTGCCTTCTTGAAAATGCTAGGGGTCAATTGGTAATTCCCTTTATGTATGCTGTCAATGGTAGTCTAAAGATTACAGAGCCACATAATAGGTCCAGGGACTGGGTCCTAAAGTTACAGTGGTAATGAACTGTTTACATCTCTATGATCTGGTTGTATTCATATTGAGTAGAAATGTATCATGCTAGTCTATCTATGTTTAAGGAGGAAGGACCCAGGAGCTGGACCTCAATCCACATAAATATAAAAACAGAATGACCTAAGCATCAACTAGGTAAAAAACAGAGTCCATATAGGCCATGACAGGGCTCAGTCATATCAGTAGGTCAAAAATTTTAAGACAGGACCAAGAAGAGCTGGTGCTCTCCTCAGAATTACAAATGGGTGATTTCATTTCAATGTAAATATGACAAAATCCATGGAGTTAGGGAGGCATCACAGTAGCTAAATGATAGATGTTATGTTATGCCCTGCAAGTGGTGGTCACCCGGCTTTAGTGGGAAACTGTCAATGTGTTAAAAACGTATCTGTAAATTGTACATATAACCATCGTTAACGGAGGTTTTTCGTAGGTATATATAATATGTATACAGTATACTTTTTTATATTTAGGAATTATGTCAGAGTAACATTCACAATCATTGTGTTCCCGAAAGTTCATTGTAAATCGAACTTTCGGTATTAGGAACCTATTTTACCATAAACAGTGCAAAATGGGTAAATATGTTCCCGAGCCGTAATTTTCTGTATCTGACCCATTATGTGATTCTTGACAAGAGTTAATTGTGTACTTACTGTGATTGTGTTAAAAATGGGACTGGGAATATTAAGTCAATGTTAAGACAATGTCACTCGATTTACAAGAAGTGTTAAGATAATGTTTTTCTCAAGTCTGCAGAGCTAATTGTGAATACATTATTTTTTGCAATTTTTACATTATGCAGTAGTCCCCCCAAATTTGTGGGGGTTACATTCCAAGACCACCCACGAATTTGGAAAAAACGCGAATTCTGGACACTGTTAAAAAAATGCCTATTTTTATAGTTTAAACCCTAAATATGCCCCAAAACACTTTAATTTCAAAATCAGCTTCATACATCACCCTGAAAAAAAAATGTGAAGATAAACCCGTTTACAGTACTGTAATGCTATGTCTCCCGCAGTGCTAGAATGTAAACATGACTTAAGAAATCGTAATGACACGATTGCAAATAAACCATACCCCCGGCCGGGATTGAACCCGCGGTCATAGAGTCTCAAAACTCCAGCCCGTCGCGCTAGCCACTAGACCAGCTAGCCACAATAAGATTCATCCAACTAGGTATATTTCTACACCATAGGAAAGTTAGCACAGGCACCTCTGTGACCACAAATGCAAGTTTTTACAGACGAATCTCCAGCTAGCGTGGCCGTGACGAACTCTAGCTCAAGTCCCTTCACTGGCCGTCAACATGACTTAAGAAATCGTAATGACACGATTGCAAATAAACCATACCCCGCCGGGATTGAACCCGCGGTCATAGAGTCTCAAAACTCCAGCCCGTCGCGCTAGCCACTAGACCAGCTAGCCACAATAAGATTCATCCAACTAGGTATATTTCTACACCATAGGAAAGTTAGCACAGGCACCTCTGTGACCACAAATGCAAGTTTTTACAGACGAATCTCCAGCTAGCGTGGCCGTGACGAACTCTAGCTCAAGTCCCTTCACTGCCGTCAACATGACTTAAGAAATCGTAATGACACGATTGCAAATAAACCATACCCCCGGCGGGATTGAACCCGCGGTCATAGAGTCTCAAAACTCCAGCCCGTCGCGCTAGCCACTAGACCAGCTAGCCACAATAAGATTCATCAACTAGGACTTGAGCTAGAGTTCGTCACGGCCACGCTAGCTGGAGATTCGTCTGTAAAAACTTGCATTTGTGGTCACAGAGGTGCCTGTGCTAACTTTCCTATGGTGTAGAAATATACCTAGTTGGATGAATCTTATTGTGGCTAGCTGGTCTAGTGGCTAGCGCGACGGGCTGGAGTTTTGAGACTCTATGACCGCGGGTTCAATCCCGGCCGGGGGTATGGTTTATTTGCAATCGTGTCATTACGATTTCTTAAGTCATGTTGACGGCAGTGAAGGGACTTGAGCTAGAGTTCGTCACGGCCACGCTAGCTGGAGATTCGTCTGTAAAAACTTGCATTTGTGGTCACAGAGTGCCTGTGCTAACTTTCCTATGGTGTAGAAATATACCTAGTTGGATGAATCTTATTGTGGCTAGCTGGTCTAGTGGCTAGCGCGACGGGCTGGAGTTTTGAGACTCTATGACCGCGGGTTCAATCCCGGCCGGGGGTATGGTTTATTTGCAATCGTGTCATTACGATTTCTTAAGTCATGTTGACGGCAGTGAAGGGACTTGAGCTAGAGTTCGTCACGGCCACGCTAGCTGGAGATTCGTCTGTAAAAACTTGCATTTGTGGTCACAGAGGTGCCTGTGCTAACTTTCCTATGGTGTAGAATATACCTAGTTGGATGAATCTTATTGTGGCTAGCTGGTCCTAGTGGCTAGCGCGACGGGCTGGAGTTTTGAGACTCTATGACCGCGGGTTCAATCCCGGCCGGGGGTATGGTTTATTTGCAATCGTGTCATTACGATTTCTTAAGTCATGTTGACGGCAGTGAAGGGACTTGAGCTAGAGTTCGTCACGGCCACGCTAGCTGGAGATTCGTCTGTAAAAACTTGCATTTGTGGTCACAGAGGTGCCTGTGCTAACTTTCCTATGGTGTAGAAATATACCTAGTTGGATGAATCTTATTGTGGCTAGCTGGTCTAGTGGCTAGCGCGACGGGCTGGAGTTTTGAGACTCTATGACCGCGGGTTCAATCCCGGCCGGGGGTATGGTTTAGAATGTAAAATACCGATGTTACCTTATACATATATACTGTAATTCATGCAAGCCCATTTTCTTTGGTATACTGTAATTCATGCAACCCTGTTTTCTTTGGTATATGTATGGTAAATATATGGTAATAATTTAGTAAAAGTAAAGTTAAATGTACGGGTACTCACCAGTAATGAATGATACCGACTGAAGATGATGATGAATTAGCAGTGCAGTACGAATTGCTGAATTTACGTAAATACACCTACCATCCGACTTACGACCTGCTCGACTTACGACCACTTGACTTACGACCGTGTTTTTTATGCCAAATTTTTGGGAAATAAACAACTATTTGTGTTGTACACAGTGTTTATCCTAAACCTTACAGTATAAAATACAGTACTAGCAACATAGAAAGTAAAGTAAAACATGAAATACCAAAATAAAACAATAAAATAAAGTCATTACAAAAATGTTTTGTTTGAATTCAGTAGTAAATTTTTGACTTACGACCATTTCGACTTACGACCGGTTTTCTCGGAACCGAACTCGGTCGTAATTTTGGATGGTAGGTGTAATTTGTTACAAAATTATGAAATTATATTTTTATTAATATAATTAGCATTAAAATGCATAAAAAAAATTATATATTGCCAAAAAGAAAAGCCAAAAAAATTCCACAAATTTGCTGGGATTTTCCGTGAACAATTATTAATTAGTTTTCTAAGGAAAATCTGTGAATTACCTAAAGCCGCGAATTCGGAACCACGAATTCGCGGGGGGTCCACTGTATGTCTATATTGCCCTGTGAAATAAATCTTTATAAAAAGTTTGCTTTGTATTTTTGTTGCTATTATATAAAAAAAATTAGATAAATTATGAATAAAAATGTTAAAGCAAAAAAGAATTGGTAGTGCCCTCAGCTCACACTGAGGGTCCTTAGTTTGATACCTGGCAAACCTGAGTATACCTGGAGAGGGGTTTCAGGGCTCAATGCTCCCGTGGCCCAGTCTATAAACCAGGCCTCTTGGCAAATCAGGGCCTGATCAACCAGGCTGTTACTGCTGGCCGCACGTAAATTGACGTATGAATCACAGGCCAGGTGGTCGGTACTGACTTTAGGTGCCTGTCCAGTGCCTTCTTGAAGACGGGCCAGGGGCCTATTGGTAATCCCCCTTATGGTTAACAACACTGGACATGTTTCCTTACACTTGTTCTCCATACTACCCTTTAGCATAAGTAGGTACTGGGTGTTAGTTGACTGTTGTGGGTCACATCCCAGGGTGTCAGTAAAGTTTAAGGAGCAGCTGGGCTTTGATATGAGATCAGGATCTTGTTTCGTCCCTTTGACCCTGCTGGAAAGTTACAGTGGCCCCACCGCTTAACGATCACCTCCAAATGCGCCCAAAATATGTAAGTGTATTTATGTAAGTGCGTTTTTTACGTGTATGTTTGGGGGTCTGAAATGGACTAATCTACTTCACAATATTCCTTTGGGAAAAAATTTTCGGTCAGTACTGCCACCTGAACATACTACGGGAAAATGAAAAAGTTCTTTTTTAACCGGGGGTCCACTTTTATTTTTAACAGCCTTAATGACCTTTCAAAGGGGTTTGCCTTAAATGCCACTGAAGGGCTCTTGGTTTAGGAAATTAACCTAGCCACTCGTTCCTTGGATTTGAATTGATTACCTCTCATTCCCCAGGTGCTGTATGACCCCTATGGGTTTAATGCTCACTCTCTGAATAGAATAGCAATAATTTAAAGCTATATTATGGAGCTCCCTAATGGAATGTAGTAGTTTATAGAACTGAAATGGAATGTAGTTAGGGGATCTAAATAAATTTTTTATAATGTCAGGGGCCCGAACTTTTTCAACTGCCTCCCAGCATACATAAGGGGGATTACCAACAGACCCCTGGCAGTCTTCAAGCTGGCACTGGGCAAGCACCTAAAGTCGGTTCCTGATCAGCCGGGCTGTGGCTCGTACGTTGGTTTGTGTGCAGGGCCCGCAGTAACAGCCTGGTTTTTATCAGGCTCTGATCCACCCGGAGGCCTGGTCACAGACCGGGCCACAGGGGGGTTGACCCCCGGAAAATCTCTCCAGGTAAACTCCAGGTAAAACCAAACTCCAAAATTTGGTTAATTCAGTAATTTCTGATATTCTAACACCACAAGACTTTCAAAAAGTAATAAATGACATGCCCATGCACTCTGCCCCAGGCCCAGACTTGTGGGAACTCCGTGTTCATCAAGAACTGCAAGAAACCCCTTTCACATGTTCTTAAATATTCTATGGAGAGGGAGCATAGACACAGGTCATCCCACATTGACTAAAAACAATTGATATAGCCCTGCTCCACAAAGGTGGGGGTAGAGCAACTGAAAAGAATTAGACTGATAGCACTAATGTCCCACATCATAAAAATCTTTGGAAGGGTTCTAAGAAGAAAGATTGCCAAAACTTGAATATCCAGCAACTGCACAACCCAGGGCAGTATGAAATTTGGAGAGGTTGCTCCTGCCTCTCACAGTTACTTTACCACTATGGCGTGGTTTTAGATTTCACTGGAGGACAAACAAAATGCAGATGTAAATACAAAACAGACGTTGTGAAAGTCTTCGACAAATGCGATTTATGGTGTAATAACGCAGTGTGTGATAAAGGAATAACAGGAAAAGTTTGGGGAGACAGATCTGTAACTTCCTAACAAATAGAAAAACAGAGTAATTAATAATAAACAGAGTAAAGTCTGAGGTGGCTACAGTAGGGAAAAAACCCGTTCCACAAGGTACAGTATTCGCTCCCACCCATTTCCTCATTTCCTCATATTGACGTAGACAGAGAAAGTAAGCCACAGCAATGTGTCCTCCTTTGCTGAAGATACCAGAATTTCCCTGACAGTGTCAAACCATTGAGGACACTGCAAATCTCCAAGAGGACATTTCCTCAAGGAAGGTTCCTTGATGTTGGTGATGGGCTCTTGATCTAGGAAATTGGATCTGTGCTCCAGTTCCCCAAATTAAGCCTGAATACCTTCCACATCCCCCCCACAGGTGCTGTATAATCCTACAGGTTTAGCACTTCCCCCTTTATTATAATAATAATAATAATAATAATCCAAGAGGACACTACTCAAGTTTTTAAATTGGCT